CAATTTATTCTTGGTTTTTTAAATTACGACGTTTAACATTTTTTATTTTTAAAATAAAAAGCATTTCAGATATTCAAAAGATCATTTTGACCTAGAAAGATAATTGCATCTGAAAATTATAGGAGTAAATAAATAGGTAAGTAGTAGGCAGTATGCCTATGTTATCTAAACACTTTTTAAACCTACACCATAAGAGCACAGTACGCTAATCCACTCACTTGCTAACCACTACAGAAGAGAGCGAGCGAATCGAACGCGCCCTTTGTATACGTACACCATAAGAACAGGGTACGCTAACCCACCTACATACTAATGACTACAGAAAGGAGCGAGCGAAGCGAGCGCGCCAGGGCGCGCCGTTTTTACATTAATACCATATGAGAAGAGTACGCTAACCCACCCACTTACTAAACACTACAGAAGAGAGCGAGCGAAGCGAGCGCGCCCTTTTTACTCCTACGCCATAAGAGCGCACTACGCTCGTTCCACGTGCATCGTTCCACAAGTACAGGAAAGAGCAAGCCTTGGAGCTAGCGAAGCGAACGCACCCTTTCTACTTATCTGTCTTCACCACATACTTTGATTTTCTTTTACTATACGGAGAATGGTCGCACTGCGCAGCTTTCTGAGTGCCTTTTAAAAGGAGATAGAAAACTCCGCCATTTTGAACCCTTATTACGTGTTGCCTACATCTTGGCGCAATATTTTTAATAGGTGCGTTTTAATCATCCGCTTCTGCTTCGGAATTGTCGGTTTTCTTGTTTTAATCTGACAGGTTAGAACGACTGAACCGACGATTCCGGAAGCAGAAGCGGATGACTAAAACGTACCTGATATTTTGCTTGCTGCTGTCAGTGTCAGTGAATATTATTTTTGGAGTCACAGTTTATTGCTAAAGAATCAGTTAGCTCACTCGGACCAGTTGAAAGTTCCAAAATAACATCCACTCCAGGGATAGAAATTCAGGATACGCAGAAGACTGCTGTTTGATTATAGGCGGTTGTCATATATTGTATTATCTGAGTTGCGCAGTGTATAAACTGGAACATTGAGATAAAAAGTGCCGACGCAGATTGAGCGATCTGATTCTTTAGCTATAAACTGTGTCATAGGGTTCATAATGGCCGCGCCCCGCCGCGCCCTATGTTGGGCGTGTCGGACCTCTCTCTTGCCCCGTATAGTAATCAAAGTATGTGGTCTTCACTCATTAGGTTTTTTCGTTCGCTGTTAGTGCACCAGTGTCAATTACACCACCTTATTTACTTAGTTTACTTTCTCTTATTTCTTATAAACATGTCGAGTGTAATTCACTCCTGCTAAATAGCTGGTGGAGGAAATATCCACCAGTGGACACCACATCGCCGACAGGAAGGTGTAGTGGAAAGGTATAAGGTTCTTTCGTTCATCCCACTGGTGTAGGAAAGAAACTACACCAACGCACACCATACCTTTCGTTTGGCCCGGTGTAAAATCCACTACACCTTCCTGTCGGCGATGTGGTGTCCACTGGTGGATATTTTTTCCACCAGCTATTGATCAGGAGTGAATTACACTCAACATAGTATCAGGAATAAGGAGGAAGTAAACTAGGTAAATAAAGGTGGTATAACTGGTGTAATTTACAATGGTGGACACTGCACCAACAGCGAACGAAAGAACCAATAGAGTGTCCGTTGGAGTAGTTCATTCTTACACCAGTAGGATGAACGAAAGAACCTATTGTCTTATGTCTTCTGCAGTAGTTAGGAGGTGAGTGGGACAAACCGATAAACATAAGGTCTTTTCCTTTGCATCGAAAGTGTATTTTCAGAAGTGGTGTAGATCAGTGCTACACTTTCGATGCATAAGGAAAGACCTATAGTAATCGTAGTATGATGCTCTTATGGTGTAGATTGAAAAAGAACACGCGTTCACCAACTATGTTAGTAACTCTTTTCCGTTTTTTATAAACGTCCACAACATCAAGGATACTTTTAATTTTAATTATTTTTATTATTAGTTATAGAGGCAATAATAAATATTTCAGTCCACAACTGGAAAACACAATTATTGCTATTAAACACAAACTTGGACATCACACACAGTAATTTTAAATTCAACAACGTGGTAACGTTGTAAACTCAAGGACCGATAGACAAATCCATTTTTTTTTTTAATTTGATGGCATCGGCATCGACTGCTCTCATTAGCCTCGTGTTCTGTGTAGGCTTGTTACTGTTTCCCAGCGCCACTGTAGGATCAGCACTGTTAATTAGAACCCAACAGTGAAATAAATTATTTTGTTTTATGTTTTGTGGAAGGAAATAATGATAACAGTTAGGTAAAAGTCAAAATGTTGCATTTAATTATAATCTAAATGAAAATATCGAACACAAAATAATTTTCCATACTTAATTTTACTTAAAATATTATAAAAAGTTAGTTAATTGAATAAACTAGTGCCAAAATTTCGAAATTCGCACCTCCGGATAGTAGGATGAAACCCTTGTGGGTGACTCCAAATGTTGTTTCTACAAATACCTACCCGGTATTTGAGAAATCGAATTAATTGTATGGATAGAATATAAAAAAGGGAATCTTTCAGCAATTGACCTTATTTTTCAATTTTTAATACTTCACAATGACAATTCTCCATTTTTTTAATATAGTGTGAGCCAAGATACTCATCCTGCAAACTAGATGCACATTAATAAATTATAATACTCTAGTTGCGCCATTGAGTCTAGGAAACCGGAAACGAAATATTAATTTCCGCATATAGTAATAATGATTACGTGACAGCCTTTTTCTAGTTCCCAACTGTTTTAGAAGCTTTCCCATAATGGAGAGCGAAACGAAAAAGGATAACGGAAAAAATCAAGAGACAGCAGATATTACTTAATGCAATGACAATAAGACTGAGAAATAATAAATCTGATTAGGATCTGCAGTCACGAATGGTATTTCGTTAGAATAATTTCAGCAAGTTTGATTATTAACGATGATAAATAAACAACGGCAGGTCTTGTTTATTGGTTTCGAATTCTTCAATTTCCAAAGAGCAACGCGATAAAATAATACCGAAGTTTACACAACAATATTAGAAAATGAAACGATCAAAAGTCGGGCGTATTACGAGGTACCATTTTCGACTCTATCTTCCGCTAATTTTACAGTAATTCAAAAACGATTTTAATTTTTGCTGGAATGTATTTATTTATTAATTCAAAATCCACACAGGCTATTCACTAGGGTGGAGCGAATTGTTTTTTATTTGGTTGGGTTATACATTAAGAGTCAAAAGTTGCTCATTACTATGATAAAAAATGAGAAAACATTAAAAAAATTTCTTTTTTTAAATCGAGGAAACAACGTTTTTTTTTACTTGCTTTACGCATTAGGTCTGCAAAGTTCCCGACCTAACAAAGATACAAAACATTTTTTCTTTAAATTTATATTTATTTTTCTACAAAGTCTCCTTGTAAGTCTACACACTTCTTCCAGCGATGCCCCCATTTCTTTAACCCGTCCAAATAGTACTTGGCGTCTTTCTCTGCAAAATAATTGTTTACGAAGGATATGGCCTCCTCAAATGACGAACATATCTGTCCTTCGAGCGCAATTTTTAGATTAGGGAATAAAAAGAAGTCGCTCGGGGCTAGATCTGGTGAGTAAGGAGGATGATCAAACAGTTTAAACTGTAATTCGTGAATTTTCGCAATGGCAACCGCTGAGGTGTGAGACGGCGCATTGTCTTAGTGAAACAGATTTTTTTCTGCAAATGTGGCCGTTTTTCCGCAATTTCTGCCTTCAGCTTGTCAAGTAATGATGCCGTAGTATGTTCCTGTAATGGTCTTTCCTTTTTGAAGATAATCGATTACAAAAAAACAGTCGCCACCACAAACTGTTTTTGCTTTTTTTGGAGCCAATTCCCCCTTCGCATTCCACTGTTTTGACTGTATTTTTGTTTCGGGGGTATAATGGTATATCCAAGTAATTAATAGGCGCTAAAATTCTGAATTATTGTGCCTAAACTACACCAACAGAGCGTTGGAAATGTTCATCCAAACACGTTTTGAGTCTAACGTGAGCAAACGTGGCACAAAACGCGCGGACAGCTTTCTCATGTCTAAATCCTCATCCAATATGTGACAAACACGTTCATTGGACATATTCATAGCCTCTGCTATCTCTCTCACTTTAATTCTACGGTCGTTTTAGCACCATTTGGTGAACTTTAGCGATGTTATCGTCAGTGGTTACAGTTTTTGGACATCCCGAACGTTCATCGTTTCCCAACCTGGTATGGCCATGTTTAAATTCAGCTGCCCAAAATTTAATGGTGGTAAATGATGGTGCAGAGTCCTCGTATACAGTGTCCAACTCATCTCTGATTTGTGTATGCGTATTGCCTTTCAAAAACAAATATTTAATTACAGCTCGATTTTTTTCACATTCCGAAAAACGCTCAGATCGGCTGACTCAAACAATTGTCAAACAACAAATGGACCTCCAAAATGGTTAAAAGTTTTGTGAGTACCTGTCAAAGGATGCGCAATCGCATTCGCTAGTTTTTATTCACGTTCAGGTCGAAAACTTTTCAGACCATCTACCTATTACTGTTGGTTTCATTCATTCCCTTAGTTATGAGTACCTATCAGACTATCAATGTAACAGTTTTATCATTTTAATTTCGACTACCATTACCATGTTCATTGTTTTTTTTGCCAATGGGCGCATCCAAATGTGTGGCTCTTCTGGGCTTTATATTCCGTATATTTTATATCGAAGACATTCAGCAATAATTAGGCTCATTTGTTCTACGCACTGCGGAAAATGGGACTTTTATTTGCAATTGTGGCATTTTTAGAATGCGTTAGCAATACCTCTCTTTAAAAAATACGATTTTCGAATTAACCATCTTCGAATCTATTTTGGTTTTCGAGATAGCAATGTTACCAAAAAAAATAAATATTATACGGTGCTTAACTAGTAATAATAATAATTATCTTAAAACTTACGTAGTGTTGAGGATTGTGTGACGGCATAGGAACGAGATTCGGATGTTGTGGTGACAGAATGACGTGCCTAAGGGTACCGCTTTCGTCGACTATTTGTTGGACCATGTGACCTGGAGGAACTTGAACGGGCATCGCTATGGGCGGCGAAGAATTCGTTGATACCATTGGCACTGTCACCGGACCTGTAACAACAACAAAATTTAGTCTAGAAAATTACGATATTTTAATAAAAATTTTAATACAAAGAAGTATGATGAATATCTCTCTAAACATGATTAAATACGTTTGTTTTATTACAGCTAGATTGCCGGTCATAATTTTGATTTATTAAAGGGTTACATATTTTGATGTCCAACGTGTGAAAAAAAAAGTTAAACGTCATTTTTGATCAGAAAACATAATCGAAAAGGAAAACTTTTAAATAGTAGCCCATATCCCACATGTACATCAAATATGAATAGATGCATTTTTAATTGAATAAGAGAAAAACTATATATACTATAATTAAATCGACTTGACACATATCCGCACTGACATGACAGCAATTGTTCAATAATTTTTTGTCAAAAATACACCTAGCTATTCTTATCGATCACAGCCATCTCAGTTATTAAGAAAAATTGGAAATAATATCATTTTGGATTTAATTTTCTCTATTTTTTTCATATCTATAAGCAAATTCATATAAAAATTAATGTATGAAACAAGGACGAAAGTGTATTTTTGTCCATTACATAAACTAACTATTAATTGGTAAATTTAAATACTTTGGCGACCAAGGTTTCATTTTTTTTTTGTAATTTGACACTAAGAACTTCATAGATACCATATTTAAGAACGAAAGCAAGGGATAGACGTAAAAATAAACAAATTAGAAGTAACTAAGAACAAAGTAAGTTTGTTGTATTCAAGCCACTTTGTAATAATATAAAATAAGCCTCTATCAAACTTTTAGGTATTCCCTTGTAACATATTGCGGTGTGACCAGCGAAACTCGTAATGGCACCCTTCATGTTCATGTTCAATACATTATTTACACATACAGTAAATATATATAAAGTAAAGGTCCAAGAATACTGCCTTGCGGAACACCAAAGCTTACAGCTTTTATATCGCTCGTGATGCCAACAAGATAAACCTGTTAATTTCATTTCATCATTCAAATCACTTTCTATATATATATAAGTCGGAAAATTCTGCCCCTTAATCAATAACATTTAAGTTTTTCGATTCTTCGATTTTTGATTGTTCGGTTTTTCTATTTGAATTTTTCTAGTTTAGATCTTTCGATTATTCAATTTTTGGATTTTCGGATTTTTTTAATTTTTGGATTTTTGGATTTTGTATTTTTCGATTTTTCTATTTAAAGGGCTTATTGGAATAACATGATACAGCACAATATTAATTTATTAAGGAAACGCGTCTTTAAAGGTTAACATAAACTACTCTATAACTGCTAAAACTTTATTAAAATGCATTTTTCGGCTAATTATGGTATTTGTTAGAGAATTTTCATTTGTTTCAAGCTTTTGTAACGTTATTTTTTATTGTCGTGAAGTAAAAATGCTTTTATTTTAAAAAATGTGGATAAGCACGTTTTTACAATAAGCCCTTTATTAGAATTTTTCGATTTTTGGATTTTTTTGATTTTTCGATTTTTCGATTTTTCGATTTTTCGACTTTTCGATATTTCGATATTTTGATATTTCGGTATTTCGATTTTTCGATTTTTCGTTTTTTAAATTTTTAAATTTTTAAATTTTTAAATTTTTAAATTTTTCAATTTTTCAATTTTTCAATTTTTCAATTTTTCAATTTTTCAATTTTTGTTAGTGGGTCATAGAAAAAATATACTGTACAACTCGAGTGGATTGTCCATATCCAGAAACTACTAATTTTCTACACCCTCATGGATATTAGCTTATCCACGCACAGACTACAAAACGAAAAAGTATGCTTTTGCGTTCAACTGAGCGAATATATTTTATATCCATTCTAGGTAGTGAGAACATTGCAAAAAAATATATTCCACCAATCAGAGTTCATATTTTGGACACCCAACTACCTACTAATATTTTTTTCTACACCCACAATGGATATTAGCTTATCTACTCACAGACTACAAAACGAAAAAGTATGTCATTGAGTTCAACAGAACGAATATATTTCATATCCATTCTAGGTAGTGAGAACACTGCAAAAAAATAAAATCCACCAATCACAGTTCATATTTTGGACACCCAACTACTATTATTTTTATAATTTTAAATAAGGTGTATGGTTGCAACTATGAAAGTCGGAGAACGTTTGCAATGTATGGAATGTTATGAATCTTAGGAATGTTAGACGTTAGGAATGCGTAAAATTAGTCTCATAAGAAATGCATGGGAGGATTTTAAGAAATTTAATATTAAAGTAGTTGGGATAAACCGAAAATTCTGAAAATCAATAGGGTTCTAAGTTAGAAGCAATTATTCAAGAAAATCAAAACCGCAAGTCAATCAGAATTTTCGTTCTCTAGTTATTGTGCCGGCATACATACGCACAGACGACCAGACGAATTTTTTTTTTGCATTTTCGTCTGCATGAATTCAATACTGAGGCCCCATAGAAAGAGCCTCAGTAATAGAAAGACATGGAAATGGTTGGACGAGACACAGACAACACACCAAATTCCAGAGATATCCACAGAATATCTTTTGTGGATATCCAATATATCCACAGGATATCAGAAATATCCCGTGGATCTAATATGGATATCCAAATGTCCGTCTATATCCAGAATATAGAAGATATTCTATGGATATCCAGCAAAATATCTAATGGGTATCTTCCAGACAATACAAGAAATCCCAGAGATATCCACAGAATATATTTTGTGGATATCCAATATGGATATCTAACCAAATGTCCGTCTACATCCCAGGATATAGAAGATATTCGGATATTCAGCAAAATATTTTATGGGTATCTTTAGTAAGGTTCATAAGTAACCAATGATTATTGAATAACGTCGAAAGAAAATAGCAGAGATAAAAAATATTTTCAACACTCTACTCTGTCTTTGATTTTGCCTACTAAGGAGAAAGTCATCCTTATTAGGACTATTCAGCAATAAATGGAAATTCTCGACTCCAGTCTCTAATGGAGTCTGATTGTGATACAAATTTCGGTCGAACTCAATTAGCCCGGGTTGAGCCTGAGTAGATGCGAAAGTGGTATCGCCATCTATACTTAGTAAGCAAAATCAAAAATTACGTCTAGTGTATATCCATGATGGTTTGCGTTCGCGCCTAGACTTTGATATATTTAGTGGATGTACATGGAATATTGAATACACCTTAAAAAAAATAATTTTAAATATCTGAACGGTACTAGTAGCCACAATGGCGAGCACAATGGCGTATTTTTTAAATAATTTGCTATATAATTACTATTATTTATGGATATTTGTATGTCTATAAATTACATCTCATGGATATAAAATAAATATCCACCATGGACTGGACATTCAGTGGATATTGGGATGTCCAGTAGATATCCAAAGGATTTGGTGTGTTGTCTGGGGATGAGGTATTCAATGCTATAAAGCTTAAAATAAAGAAGAGGAAAAAGAAAAGAAAGAAATAAGAGAAAGATTAATAATAAACAATAATAGCGAAACATAAAGAAGATAGAAATATAAATAAGATAAAAATATAAAAAAGAAGTGGAGAAAGTATGAAGAAAAATGGAGAAAGCATGAAGAAAAATAGAGAAAGATGAGAAAAAAATAGAAATATTAATTTAAAGAAAAGAATGATTCAGAAAAAAGCATAAAAAAGTAGACTTTACTTTTGTAATAAAAAGTACCATGTGTTTGGACTATTCTCTATAATCTTCTAGTCAAATCTTAAAATAATTGAATCAGCCAATCTGTACACAATGACAATCACAATAGCCACATTGTATAACATAAAACATAAAAAACTGATATAAACACGCTTGAGATGCTTGATGTGAGGCGGCGCGCCGCGGATGCCTATTTAGATCTCCAGCCTTGAGAAGTTTTCAACTGTTTGTCCTGCTGTATAGTCGAGGAATGTCTGATTCAGTAATAAATAATGCGGCAAAACCAGATGCACCGGTCACTTGACCTCCTATCGCTTACACATACACAGAGAGAGCAACCCGCAACGCCCACGTTTTTAATATCTTTTATCTTGCGATGCGTTTCAGCCGAGCTGCATCGGCTGCCTCAACTCATCCTCAAGACGGGGCAGGTCTTTTCTAATCACGGACGTGCTAGGGTTTTAAATCAATTTTCCTAAGACCATATATACGAAAATAGCACTCTCATGGCTTCCAAATTTCTTTAGAAACTGGCAATTTTCTTCACTTGTGTGGAAAGTAACTCAAAACGCAAGGTGACGTTGCAAAATGACAGCTCATTTTTATAGTGTGATGTTTGTTTATTTTAAACAACAGTTTATTTAATAATAATTTATTTACACACTTATTTATTTTATAACACTATTATTCTAATTTATATATATATATATATATATATATATATATATATATATATATATATATATTTAGAATGTCTTTAAACTGTTCGCTATTTATCTTCACTGTCCATATAATAACTAACTCTCGCTTGGTCCTCCACCACTATTTATATACAAATTTAAAAAATTGGCGAATGTGCTAGAAAGTTCACCTATTCTCACCAATACACTAGAAACATCCCGTTCTTTCTCGAAAAGTCATCTAAAGCTCTAGTTTGGAAGAGTAATTTATATACGAGACCATAATAATAATAATAATAATAATAATAATAATAATAATAATAATAATAATAATAATAATAATAATAATAATAATAATAATAATAATAATAATAATAATAATAATAATAATAATAATAATAATAATAATAATAATAATAATAATAATAATAATAATAATAATAATAATAATAATAATAATAATAATAATAATAATAATAATAATAATAATAATAATAATAATAATAATAATAATAATAATAATAATAATAATAATAATAATAATAATAATAATAATAATAATAATAATAATAATAATAATAATAATAATAATAATAATAATAATAATAATAATAATAATAATAATAATAATAATAATAATAATAATAATAATAATAATAATAATAATAATA